AGTTTCCAAAACAAAAAAAAAACACAAAAATATGGAGAAACAACAACAGAAATATTATTATGGACAAGCAGATACTCTTTTCTTCTTATTTGTTACGTTTATTTTTTTTAATGATTATTATATTTTTTTTTCTGTATATAATTTCGCCAAAGAATATTGTATGTATTGTTTTATTTTATATTAATTATTACTATTATTTTTTTATTATTTCCATCCACACCTTTTTTTCCTCCACCTTTTATATTGTAAATATTATAACATTATTATAAAACACCCAAATTACAACAACAAACACAAGCAAACCTAGTTTATGTACAGAAATTATATATGTTGTTCTTCCTTTTAAAGATAAAAATAATTGAAATAAACGCAATTGTTTTCTGTGAACAATTTGCATAATATGATCAAAGACGACCGATCTTCTTTTATTTATTTATTTATTCTTTTGTTTATTAGTTTTTTTTTTTATTGAAGACTAGTGCAATTTATTTGATTGTTTTTAATTCGCGTATTTATGATTTTTTTTTTTTAAATTATTTTTTTTGTTTCGGGAAGAAAAATGATCTCGTTTCGCACTCAATAACTAACTGGACTACATATTAAAACTAGTTACAAATAAAAAGAAAACAATTTTTGAGAATTTATGCGAAACACACTTACACACACACACACACTGAACCAATTTTGTTTGAGGACGAAGAAATAAATTATTTATAAAAATAAATCAACAGAAATCTCGTTTGTTTTCATTTTCATGAAACCCTTAACAATCCTTACAATTCCTTAATAGCAGCGTTTCTCAACCTTGTGTAGAAACTACAAACTAATATGTAGTAAAAGGTTGAGAAACGCAGCGTTTTTATCTTAATTGCTGTTAATTATAAGACTTTAATGAAACACTTAAAGAACGTTGTTAAATTATATCAAAAAGCGACGTTATTAATGTTTCTGTGATAATTATGGTTTCATTTAAACTTTCAGCATTAATTTTATCCAGATTTTCACAACTTTTAATACTTTTTGCTGCATTTAAAGGACGAAACAACTATAGAATCATAATATTTGTTATTGTATAATGAATAAAATGGAAAAAGGAAAAATTGATTATATTTCTTACAGAATCAATTCTAAATCTAAGCGATTTAAAGAGAATATTCATAAAATTGAGAAATTTAAAGAAATACATACATTTTTCACATTTACCGTAGAAATTTTACTTCGAAATTGCAATTATGAAAAGTGACAAGATTCTTTTTGTTCAGTGAAAAAGGAAAAACAAACTTAACAATCCTTACAATTCCTTAATAGCAGCGTTTCTCAACCTATATGGGTCGTGTCAAATGTTTAACTACAAATTAATATGTAGTAATAGGTTGAGAAACGCTGCGTTTTTGCTGTTAATTATAAGAAAAACTTTAATGAAACATAAAAAAAAGTTATGAAATTATATCAAAAAGCGACGTTATTGATGTTTTTGTGATAATTATGGTTTCATTTAAACTTTCAGCATTAATTTTATCCAGACTTTCACAACTTTTAATACTTTTTGCTGCATTTAAAGGACGAAACAACTGTAGAATCATAATATTGGTTGTTGTATAATGAATAAAATGGAAAAAGGAAATTTTTTTTATATTTCTTACATAATCATTTCTCACCTTCAACAGAGATAATCTGTGTATTCTAAATATAAAATAAAATTGAGAAATTTAAAGAAATACATACATTTTTCACATTTACTGTAGAAATTTTAATTACTTCGAAATTTCAATTATGAAAAGTGACAAGATTCTTTTTGTTCAGTGAAAAAGGAAAAACAAACTTAATAATCATTACAATTTCTTAATAGCAAATTAATATGTAATAAAAGGTTGAGAAACGTTACGTTTTTAACTTAATTCCTGTTAATTCTTAGAAACTTTAATAAATTATAAAAAAAATGTTGTTAAATTATATCAAAAAGCGCATTTTACCGACTTTATTAATGTTTGTATGAAAATTATGGTTCTCTTTTACATTTAAACTTTCACAATTTTTAGTACTTTTTGTTGTTATCAAAGAACGAAACAACTATAGAATCATAACATTTTTTTGTTGCATAGTGAATTTGATTAATTTCTTAATAAAACATTACTTACCTTAATATCTCTGATGATCTGAATATATCTAAATCTAAGCGATTTAAAGGAAATATACATAAAATTGAGAAATTTAAAGAAATACATAAATTTTTCACATTTACCGTAGAAATTTTAATTACTTCGAAATTGCAATTGCGAAAAGTGACGAGTTTTTTTTGTTGATCAGCGAAAAAGGAAAAACAAACTTAACAATCCTTACAATTCCTTAATAGCAGCGTTTCTCAACCTATATGGGTCGTGTCAAATGTTTAACTACAAATTAATATGTTGTAATAGGTTGAGAAACGCTACGTTTTTAACTTAATTCCTGTTAATTCTTAGAAACTTTAATAAAATATAAAAAAAGTTGGTAAATTATATTAAAAAACGCATTTTACCGACTTTATTAATGTTTGTATGAAAATTATGGTTACATTTAAACTTTCACCATTAAGTTTATCCAGAGTTTCACAACTTTAAGTACTTTTTGTTGTTATCAAAGGACGAAACAACTATAGTATCATAACATTTTTGTTGCATAGTGAATTTCCTTAATTTCTTAGTAAAACATTACTTACCTTAATATCTCTGATGATCTGAATATCCTAAATCTAAGCGATTTAAAGGAAATATACATAAAATTGAGAAATATATAAAGTTTTCACGTTTTTCCGTACAAATTTTAATTACTTCGAAATTGCAATTCTGAAAAGTGACAAGTTTTTTTGTACAAAAAAATAAAACACATAAATCTGTATAATTGTCACAGAATAGGAAAATATAAACAGAGTTTTTGTAATTAAGGAAAATCAGTATTCATGGTGAATGTTTTGGTGGGATTTGGAGAGGAAATTAAGAAGCGGAGGCGAAGTTAACAATGCGAACATGCATAATTCATGCCGTCTCAATTACCAGTGTTTTGCATTTGAGTCTTTAGAACTAGCAAAAGTTCGAACGTCTGAAAACCTAATAGGGAAAACGAGAATATATGCAGGTGAAATACAGAGTAATATAGGAGAGATTTCCACTTGAACTGTCGCTTCGAAATCCATGCACTACAAAGTTTCCTTTGAAACACACGTAATAATGAACAAAATACTATAGTTATTTTGGCTCGACGCTTTTGTGCATTCGAATTCAATAATGTTAGACGAGAAGAATGGATTTATTTGGTACATATGTATATATATTTTATTTAATATCTACATGGGTATACAAATTGTGTGTGGTTCACTATATAGATTACATAATCAATTGACATTCATTGTTTCTATTGCTACGCTTATATAATATGTAGGGTAGAAATATATATTTGGATTAAACGAGTTTTTTCGTATATTTACAAAAGTTTTTCAAACAATTTGTGAACGTTCAAAAGCGTAGCGAAAAAAATAATAATTTAATTGTGTTTTTGCTCACTGAAAACTGCACACAAATTGATAATTATTATTATATATATATGTACAAAGTTCTGAAAGAATACACAAATAAACACAAATAAATGGGGAGTTTTATAAAGAATAATGATGCTGCTGCTGCGAAGTGCATTTCGTATGAGTGTGTTCATTTATTGATTTGCAGCTGCAGGAGCAATTTCTGCATGCGTTCGTGATTGGTGGAGGAATGCAGGAATCAATTGAATATAATTTAGTAGTTTGCTTGTTTACATTCCACTTGAAGCGGTGGCTTTTCGTCGGTCCTGCACTTACCACAAAACTTTATTGAAAAACGCTCAAGTTTCGCCTACAAAACGCGCCCGGCGCAGCAACAAACGAACGCATTTGCCAATTCAATAGAGTGCAAAATCGATAATAACGAAACATTCACGATTTCAAATCGTTTTACTCAATTTTCCATTCGTTCATCGCTTTAAATCATTCACGAATGTTTTTGCTAAATGTTCAATTTAACTTTACTTTCTAAGAAAACATTGACGATTTATTGAAATGCGAATCATTTAAAGGTGTTTCTGTTTTCAATCATTGTTTTCTGCATTAATTCACATTCAGTGTTACTTCTTACGTTTTCTTTACTCTCTAATCTAAATACAATAATTACATCTATATTAAGTTACAGAAATGTACATTTAACTCCTCATTCATAAGAAATTTGCTTCAATTGAAACTTTCTTCACATTTTCATAAAGTCACTGAAATAATTACAATAAATCTTGTTTAATAATCTTAATTTTTTCAATAATGAAAACTTAGATTTAAAGTATTACAATTTGACATGACTACAAATGATTAAGTTTAGTGAATACGTTGAATTTTTATTGAATCCAACAAATTTACGAATCCGTGAATAGTTTTTGTTGTGAGTTTCTTGTAGCAAACTTTAAAGAAGTTCTTAAACTTGTTTCGCGAAAACGATTGCTTCTGACCGATTCGCACAATTTGCGCAAGCAATCGAATTCAAATCGTGTAGAAAATATAATAATTACGTTACAAATTACATTTATATTAAAGATTTCTTTACCAAAAGAAAAGAGTTTAGTTTTTTAAATTATAGTCATTGTTAGTGTGAATTGAATAGCTGAAAGTTGAAAATTATTACTTTTCTTGTTTTGTTATAATTGTAGCTTGAATGTAATGGAGATTTTGTTGTTTTATATAATGAATTTATAGATTTGTTCTAAATGTATGCAGTATAAAAGTTAGTTAAGATGCTTTCAGCAGAGTGCACTATATCTTGTGACTCGAGTTGATAAAGTGAGACGCTCTGTACATAACGCGAAGAGATATAGTTGTTGCGCTTCGAGAAGTTTAGTTTCCAATTTCCTATTTTTAAAGTGCGGATGATGGCAACGGCGAAGGGAATCGATGCTATTACGGATATCGAAAGGGTCTGACGACAGGAGGACGTTCATCCCTTTCCGATCTCTTCGACACTTTCTACACCATCCACGCTACTTTGCTGACCCTCTCGTTGTTGGGAGCAGCGGGAACGGAGAATCCTCCGATACCCCCAACGACGCTTACGCCGATGCCGGTGCCGTGGCCGCCTCCACCGGCCGGGGGTCCGGGTCAGTCGGGGTCGTATCTGCAATCAATCCGCATCAAGACGACGACAATGGACAAGGTGATCAGCGCCAAGCACAGCTCTATAGAAGCCAACACAGTCAGATCTTCCTTCTGATCGTCGAGGATTCGGCGAGCGCTCAACGTCCTCGTCGACTGGACGATCAGAGCGGCGAGGAAAGAGCAAGCCGTTCCCCAGAGTATCGACAACGGAATTGCGATCTTGACGGAAGGTCCGAGGAATCGCAACGAAGATCCGGGCATGCACGTGGACATTCTGTATCCGCCGAATCCCCGGGTCGTGTGGATGCTCGCAGCTACAACAGAACAAGAAGAAAACGCAGCGAATTAAGACCGCAGACTCTCGGAATTGTCGCAAGGACTTAAAGTTAAATCCCCGAACTTCGGGCAAAACTTGCAAATAACACTACAGCTTTCAGAACAATTAGTTTCGTCTTTCACAAAGAAAAGGACAAATCAAATTAAGCGTTCGCATCTAAAGAGTGAGACTTCGTTAGCTTTAATTGCAGATGACTTTCAAGTAATTATTTCTCTACATTTTTTTATAATTAAAGACGACAAATTCATTAAAACACTAAAGAATATCTTCATTAAATTCAATTTCCAATTCTTATACATTTCACATCTTTATATTATAATTAATAAATGTAAACAGTAACAATTAAAACATTCTTAATAATTTTTTTACAGTCCATTTGTTATATTAAAACATATTTACAAATAAAATTTTAAATTACATCAAATTTTTATTATTCAAAAATTTTACCAAACTTTAAAAAATTAAGATTTTTCACTTGAAATATAAAAGTTACAAGCTTTATTTATCAATATTATTTATTTATTTAGTTTTTAATAAACTAAATCATACTTAAAAGTGATTCAATCTGAAACCTTGTAGATTATTTTCAGGTTTCAGTTTATTTTCAGGTGATAATTCAAAATTTAAGTTTAGTCCGTTATTTTTTTTTTTAGATATTTGTTTTAATTGTGCGCGATTTTTTCCATTTGTCTAAATATTACCTAGATTTGTTTGTAAACTTAATACAATGAATTTCACTTCAAATTGAAAAATGTGTAATTTCCATCAAATTGTCACTAAAATTATATTTTTCATTTAGTGTAATTAGAGAAAAATTAAGAATGAATACTTCTACAATTTAGTATGTATCAATTTTAATTAAATTTCATAAGATTTCTGATCACTTTATCATGATAATAGAAAAATTGGAATTAGATGTAGATTTATAGTAAATACTTATTCAAATAATTTAGCATGAATTTTACTTAAAGAATGTTGATCTTATACATTATTATTGTTTCATATCTTATTGTATTCATATAATTTGATATAAAGTTTGTAAAGCTGATTTTTTTTTTTTTTTCATTTTTTGAAATTTTTTACATTAAGAATCGTGTCTTATTATATGAATATAGAAATGTTGCATTTCGATTGATCTTTTTTATATGTTTTATTGATTTTTTCTTATTGAGAAATGAATGTTAATTTATTCTGAATCCAATTCGATCATTATTTTATTTAATAAAAAAAAAAGTCGTCCAAATTAATTGCACACAAGATATTCAATTTGAAACGATTTGTTCTCGTCGTTCAGAACAATTACAGCTTTGTCCCATTTCTCTCTTCCAATGAAACGGACAAGAGAAAGAGACGAGTAAAATCCGATCTTGTATAATTGGATATGACGAATCAAATGAAGCCCTCGGATGAAATTTAATTACTCGACTCATCGAATTGAAATGAAACGAAACGAAACGAAAGCCGTTTTCATTAAATGTAAAAGAAATTAAGTTATTTAAATGGTGACTAGAAGATTGAATCGACAAAAATCCTTTATTTTAATCCAGATTAAATCAATAATTCGTCCGTTAATAAATGGGATGTGATTCACTGCGCTCCTCCACTCAATCCATCCACTTAATTCGATTGATCGGAAATCTAATAATTCCGCTTTCAGAAATTTCACTTGCAAATTGCGATGGAATAGCAAAAGCGATTACTAATTAGAAGAGTTATCTCTGTTAGATGTACGTAATACATGTACGTGGGGTCTAATAAAAGTTCGTTTAGTTGGCGTTAATACATTTGTTTCTGAAAAAAACAAAAGCTATTTCTCAATTTGTTAAATTTTAACGATATTTCATGTGAAATGGATAGGAAAGAATGGATAGGAGAAAATGCTAGATTAGTGATGTAATGTTGGTAGAAATTCCACAATCTTGAAAAGCTCCAAAAAGTCAACTGAAGAAATGTATTAAAATAAAATAAAAATAAAAAAAATGTTTTTTTCCATCCAACTAATCGAACTTTTGTTAGACCGCACGTATTACATAATTCAAACGTGTTTTATTTATTACATTTATTAGACTTTCGTAAATGTTCATCTTCATCCGTTTTACATTTCCTGCATTTCCATAAACTTTCTTTCACTTTAGCTTCACGCAACTTCTTTGCACACTTTCTGACACTTCTTCATTTCTGTATGCGCCTGATGTACATTTCCACTCCGGATCGAAACATCTTCCTTGATGGATGTTTTCCTGTCTCGACGGTTGAAATATATTAGATTTGTTACGTGTAATATTTAAAAGTGTCGCAAAGAAAAAGCAAAAGAAAAATTTCTTTGATATAAACCAAATAATTTCATATCGCGAAAGAAGTCAACTATGGATTATTGAGTAATATCTGAAGTATTCGATTTAAATTATTTATGTAATCATGTAGGATTCGAGCCCTTTTTTATGGGATAAGTTTCTGTTGCTTTATACATTCCAAATGCTCGACGATTTAGCTCAAAGTTCAAATTTATGTAAATCCTCGTCTTGCCTTTTCCACCGCTTTTCCACTCCACCCCCAAAAACCGTTTCAATTCCTTCATTTCATCCACAAAAGAAACGGCGTAATAAATATATAAAAAAAAAAGAAACTGAACATTTATTCAATGTTCATATTTGGGGATCTGTGAATGAGAAGCTGAAGCACGATTATACGTGGAAATGTTGTCAAAACTCGTGACTTTCGACCGGACGAGGAGGATTTCATTTTGTAATGGAATTAGAGGCTAATTGGGTGTCGGTTTAATGAAATTCGTTCGACGGAGACTGCGGAAGCCATATCGCGGATTTGCACCGCAGAATTGTTAATTAATTTGATGCATGCATGTGCGGTGATCGTAATTCAAATATATAAACGTAATTGGAAGCCGGAAAACAACAACAACAGCAACTACTACTCGATGTCTTCGTTCCAGGCAGAAATTGAATAAAATTGACTTTTATCCTGATTTAATCAACGTCAACGTATTTTTGCTCTCGTTAGACGATGCTTCGAGGTAATATGCATCTAAAGTGCACGTCGGATGGAGATTTAATGAATATATCAAAGCAAAACTCTTTGAAAATATACATATTAAAATTAGTGAAAAGAGTGAATGCAAAGAGTTTTTTTTTTTATTATTTAACTAAAGCTAGATGTGTATGCTAATACACATATTTGTGGTTGTTAAAGTTGAAACACCCCTCTCTAAAAACCTAATTTTATATTATAGTATAAGTTGACAATGATATCTTGTCGAGAAATTCACGAAAAACCAAATACACTGAAAAAAAAACGAGAAAACCGTCATTTCTCTGTTACGTATAAAACGTTAAGTGTATGTTTTTTTTTCAATTTCTACAACTCATAGCAGGCGACTAGATGACAGCACTAAGATGTATGTAGGCTTGTTGGAAAGACAAAATATTCA